CAAATACACCACTATAAATATAAATTTCAAGTACACTTCAAAAAGCTGAGATATTCAAGCATCCTACACTTTGCAGAATACCATATAGCAAACAAAGGCCTTCTAATGAATATTACGCATACCATACACTCAGGAAGTTTCTATTTTTAGGTTACAGTATACATGTTAACCTGTCACCAGAAGGCTCGAAATGGATTTTAGGTCAATGACACCTTGAGCCAGACCTTTTAAACCTTTGTTTTGTCTGCTCGCTAGCTGGCTAGTTGTGTGTACACTTGCCTAAACGTGCTTGCATAGTGGGCCACTATCTTCCGAGCCTTGCCCTTCCAGCTACTGGATGTGTAATACAGTGACTCCTGACCTTCTGTGTCTTGTCATATCTATTGTAATAACAATTTGAATTATTAGCTTTTCCATCTCTCCCACTTTCTCCTACTTTTACACTATAAAAACGTTTATTTATCTAACATCTGACTTTCTGCACTTAAGAGTTTCCATGCATGGCATCTTCTACAGACTAATTCTGGTCACATGTTTTATCAACATATTAATTTCCCAGAGAATCTGATATGTAGTTACCATATCTCCTCAATTCCATCTCTTCTGGTGTGGTGAGGTTCAGCTGCCATAGACTTTCTTCATAGTTTAATGCTCACAGTTCTAATGTAAGTCTCAGAGCATTCCACTGTATTTTTATCATTTGGTTTTATGCCTCTTTAGGTTGGGATCCATGCTGTGATAGCATACCTCAGAATGGATAACACACATCGTGTACAATACTCTCAATGCCTTCCATAGGCTCCTAAATGATATTCTTAAGTTTGAAATTTGACATTGTTATGCAACGAAACCAGCAGGCATGGCAGAATGTGCAAAATAGCCCCACTGAAGAGCGGAGGTGCAATAAGCATGCCAAGAGAGAACTCAATCAATATCAATGACCAAAGACTTTTAAATACTTTCCCTACACATATGGGGCATAACTGGGCAATCTCTCGCAGTGCTCAAAACCCCCCAAAAATTGGGTTACAAGTGTCTCAAAAACCTTGTAAAATTTAACATGTTAAGTCCCTGCCAGTTTGGCCTCCATTTACAAAAGGATTACCTATGATGTCATTATTAGTCTGTTTTACATAATCTACACTGCCCTTGACAAAAATGAGTTCCCAACTGGCCTTTTCATTGACTTGAGAAAGGCTTTTGATATTGTAAACCATAACTACCACTTCAAGTTCACCACTATGGAATCTGAGGCCTTGCTCTGAACTATATTCGATCCTATCTTAGTGACAGACACCAATACTGTAAGTAGCCATCAATAACATAACATCCCCCACTCTACCATTACCATTTGACTACCATTAACTGTAGGAGTGCCACAGGGCAGCATTTTAGGATCTCTCCTATTTCTTATATACATCAATGATTTGCCAAATGTCTTAACATTCTTAAACATATACTATTTGCTGACAATACTACCTTCATATATTCAGACCTCAACCCACACACACTAAATAATATTGTAAATAATTAATTAAAAAAAGGTCCACTCATGGATGTCAACCAACAAACTCACACTAAACATAGAAAAGACCTACATTTGATTTTGAAGTAAATCATCAAACCAAATTCATCTTCAGATAGACAATAACAACATTAGCAATAAAAATGATGGGAGAGTTCCTTAGTCTATACATAAAGAGACTAAACTTCAGCACCCACACACAACATACAGCCAAAAAAAGTCTTAAACACTGCCAGTACTGTAAACTCACTAAAATGAGATCTTATGTTCCCCACTCTGCTCTCCTCTCACAAATCTATTCCTATCTTGCATACGGTATCTATGCATGGGGTTCAACCACTGCAAATTACGCCAAGCCCATCACCACCCAGCAAAAATCTGCTATATATCAGAACTATAACAAACCATCATCAGATAACATACAACCCCTCTGGTTTAAATCCCAAAACATGCTAAACATACACTCACTCCACACATTCTCTTGTGCTATTTACATGTACAAAACCTTGTTTCTAATGGCTAAATCTGTGCAAAAAAACAATCTGTGCACACACTCCATGGAAATAAATAAATAAACCCAATCTATGGAACTAGCACTCTAATGAATTAAAAAAATGTCCAACCTATGCCTTATTTGAAAATAAAACCCAAAAGTACCTAATTTCATCCTCATAGTTTCCTACCTTGTGCTTCAAACTCTCACTATCTTGTACTACCCAATCCTGGATTTTTGTACTCAAGACGTGCAACTTCACCAGCGTAATCAATACCTTAAATTTATATTGTAGTTATTATGTTGAAATCAAATATTGTTACAATGTACCGATTAATAATCTTACTTTATGTTAGATTAAGAATCTGGCCAAAATGCTCTGCATTTTAGTAGCTTTGCAAGAATATAAGAATACAATGTTATGTACACAAACCCACTGTACCTTCTTGTATATAAATAAAATAAATGGACTCTTACCATCATTAATAATTCTGTTTTGTATTTGTGTCCAGCTTCAGACATGAGAAATGACAAACAAAAGCATTATATTTTTAGATAATATGTGGCAAATAAGTTGTGTTAAATGGTTCTTGGGTATGTGTGAAATAATACAATAGTGCAGATGACAAAACTAGAATAACACTAGTATGGGATACTTTCGGTAGGGTCTGGTTATACAAAGGCAATTTGACAAAGCTCGTGTTCCGATTATTAAAACCACATATGCTGTACTGTATTAGAAAATCTACAGGAGCCATGATGAGGGTTTAAACCAATGCGCTGGGGTATTTCCAGATGCACGCTCTAGTCGACTATCTTGAGATTATCTTGAGATGATTTCAGGGCTTAGCATCCTTACGACCCGCATTAGAGTGAAAGAAACTCTGCCCATTTGTTTCTGCCTCCGCAAGGGATTGAACCTAGAACCTTAGGACTACGAATCCAGAGCGCTGTCCACTCAGCCGTCAGGGCAACTGGACTATGCCACGATAGTCGACTAGAGTGTGCATCTGGGAACAACCAGCAAATAGGTTCAAACCCTCATTACGGATCCTGCAGATTTTTCTCATTGATATATTACGATAACGTGATTTCTCTGTGTACCATATATATTGTTAGGGTTAGGAGGTAATAACTTAAGTTAGGCTCAGTAAGGTTTGGCAAGTTTTAAAATCCATTGATGAATCATCTTGTGCATGGTGTGACTTATCTCCTTGGGGAATAGTCAGGTCATACACAGGCAATTCAACAAAGTTTGCTTTCTAATTGCTAAAACTATATTTATAGTGATAGGTTAGGTAAGTTTTTAATAACTGTTGAACTTCCTTGGGTATGAAGTGATCTGTATCCAGGTACTACATGTTAATGAAGAAATTTTAAGGGAGTTCCATATTTCCCGTTTTGTATTGCATGTGGGTTTTCACGATTTAGTTGAATTAGAGGAAAATCAGATATATTTATGTGTGAAGTTCATGGGATCTCTAGTACATCCATCTACGAAGTTTCATATCAGATTGATCTTGATAATTTTGCACTCCATACTACCAGGACCCATAAGGGTCCCAGTAGTACAGTTGGATTCGTTCTACACCTACAATAGAGCATCCCAGGTTTAAATCCCAGGCGGGACACAAATGGTTGGGCAAGTTTCTTATCACCTAATGCCGCTTGTCCACCTAGCAGCAAGTAGGTACCCAGGAGTTAGTTTTGTTGTGGGGGTTGCATCCTGGGGAGGGTCAGTAATTTGACCCTGGGGGACCTCCATATAAACCTAGCATATACTGTATATATAAACTGACCGACTGACTCACCCAACACAATAATTTATTATTATTATAATTATCTCTGGGATGTAATGGAAAAATTATAGAGGCACATAATGGGCTAAGGAACTCGAGTCAAAGTTAGTGGTTGAAGTAGTTTGTGATGGTCAAGCACCCTCCAGATACCATTAATGACCATAAAAGGATAAATCAGTACTATTTGATGGGAACAGCAGTGGGGGACTAAATTATTTATCGTTTGTTTATAAAGTCACATTATATCTAAAGGAACAAAGTATCCATAAGTTCCTCAAGTCAGACTTTAATGTCTGAAATCAGTTATTGGTGCCCAATTAGGTACTTATTGTTCAGTACTGCTCCTAGAGTTGTTACACAGATAACACCCCCCCCCCCCACGACTAAATTACCAAAGCCTTACCTGCAGTTACAGTTGACGAAATATTAATAGGTGTCGCCGATGGACAATACATGTACGAATGTTTAGTTAAGCAATAAATATTACAATTATTTTTCAGCGAATCCAGACTCGTCCAATGTCCTTAGGCCGGGACAGTTATTTTCCGTTGCAAACGACACTTTCGCTGAACACCAGAACGGTCGTCGAGCTCCACACTTGCCAAGTGCACAAAATCACGCGTATTTAAGCCATGGAGGCGTTGGTATATATGCAGAGTGTGTGGGGAATGTGAGAGACAAAGTCAGGGTCCCCCACCGTAAACACGTCCCTCTTGGTACTCACTGACCCGGGGACCACTGGGGAGGGGGGAGGCTTCTCTCCATCACCTCGGGGGAGGTTACGGGGGGGGGGAGCTACGAGGCCCACGGGGGCAGGGGTGTACTCCTAGCCTCCTGGGGGGATTACATGGCCCCTCTTGGTGGAGAGGGGGGGACACTAATCCCCAAATGGAGGGTACTATTGGCCCCTAAGGGGAGGTAGGTTGGGGGGGGGGAAGTGGACACAAGAGAGCTTGGTAAACATAAATTAAGATTTCGCTCCCGTTTTTTTCCTCAACTGAGGCACATTTCACAAATTATGTGAATTAATTATTGTTGATAATTGTAGGTATGGTTGGTGTTGTGTGGAGGGAGGTGTAGAGGTGTTGTGGAAGGTGTAGGGGCCCGACACTGCAGACGACGCTACACATAAACAAACCAAGTGGGAGGAAACTCCTTCACAACAGGTGAACCTTTATTCTTGCTCTCATATTCCTTTATACACAATGGTCAAACGCAATCATAATGCTCTGAATGTGTGAATATTATCAGCAATGAAGAATGCTATTAGGTAATAACATAGGCACAGCGGCAACAGGCAGATATATCTGGACCTTGCCATACTGGCCATAAACGGCTCATTCTTGTCGATTTTAGGGCGACGAAGTAACTAGATGTATGAACCCTGTCGAACCGGTTTCCCAGTAACAAAAACAAAACTGAAGCAATCCTGGGAACAAGCACGACCACAGTAAAACAAGTTCCCAGTGGCGCTGACTACCTGACAACACTTGAATACCCAAAGATAAGGCAGGCACCAGTCACCCACACAACACACAAGGTAACATCCACAGCACAGCAAAGGCCAGGTGCCCTCCATGTCCATAGAGAACACAGGAGCCTCTAAGGCTCTCTGGGGCCCACCAGACCCCAGCACCTCTTGGCCAAGCCAGCTCAGATGCTGAGTGCGGGGTCCAGAGGTGCAAGCCAGAAAATGCAAGAAAATCTACAAACCAGGAATCCTGGCATTTGGAAAGAAAAAATAGTTGTAATGGCATGGCATTTTCTCCTGATCGTTAGTCATTACCCTGTGACCCCATAACGACATGCACCGTGTGTCTCAAACATCCGAACAGTTGAATGAAGGTGCCTTACGGCAAAATGTAACCAAATGGGCAGCAAAAGCAAAATATTCTTTGACGACCTCTAGACGGAGCAGAAGTCAGGTGTCCGCGCAACATCAAGGTTGAACCAGGAATCTACACACTACTTAATTCCCATTGTTGATGATAGGAAGCCTGTACTTAAGATTGTTGAGGTCCCCTTAGGCTCTATTCCAACTGCTGACCTTTCCCAGGCTGCGCTCCATGACAATTGCCTAACTCCCAGTTACCTGTTTAATAGCTAGGTGAACTAAGGCATTAATTAAACGGAAATGTGCAGGACTTTCTGTCCTGCCCAGGGATTGAACCTGGGTCCTTTGTTGTGAACTGAGGATGTGGACCACTGTGCTCATACACTCTTATGCAAGGTTAGGTTTAGTTAGATAAGAGAGGCATTGTTAGCCATCAGTTCATCAACAGTGCCTGAAGGACCATTGTTTTTCAGTATGCCCGACACAGAAAAAATAAAGTGCATTTGCACCTGACAGGGAATTTACCATCTACATTGTCATTCAGTAATTCCAGCATGTCTTTGAAGAATGTGACTTCCACATCCACTCCATTGATAATGTCGTAGCATTCCATAATTGCCCCAACACGTATGTCGTCCTCCCAGAGACAGCTCACATCAGTTATGTAGAGATTACCAGACCTCTGCAGATCTCCAGGTACATTATTAATTTTCTATGGTACAGCCCTATATACCCAAGGCTCATCTTCAGATCATTTTCAGTCATACATTCATTGCCCCACCTGAGCACCTAACTACTTGGACTGGATAGTAGAGCAATGATTTTGCTTCTTGCAGGTCTGTGCTCAATCCTCAACCATCCAAGTGGTTGTGCACCATTTCTTTCCTTCATCCTACCCGAAATTCTTATCCTCATATCCCTTCCAAATGATATATAATCATAATGGCTTGGTGCTTTCTCCTGATGATTACAATACATTGCCTCACCTGATCATTTGGGCTATGCTGCACCTCCTGACTAAATGAGTGATATGGTTAGGACACAGGTGTCACAGGAATGGGCTTGTACTTCCCTTCAATGTAAGTAGAGGTCCCTACTAGAGGTTGAAGATGTCCATGTTGACATCATTGATCCTTTTCCTCAATCCAAAGAACATGCCTATCACTAAGTTTTCATGGTTCTTTCGCTATAAAGCAAGTATTTTTATATTAAATTAGCTCTCCATTCCATAAGGACAGGTTAAGAAATTTCAATCTCAAAACCCTAATGGAGAAGAAACAGAGGGAAAATTACTACTACATAAAAGATACTGATGGGAATAGCTGGGAGTAGACAATGACAGCCTTTTTAAATTGAAAGGAAACAGAATAATACCAACAGCCCCAAAGCTGAAGAAATTGCTGACCTGGAGAATGTGCAAAGATATACTGTAATACCATTTGAACCCACCCAATAAAACATCTGAATTATTAGGACCACTTAAAATGTTTACATTTTTATTCTTTAAAGCACAGGGGAGAGAGAGAGAGAGATAATTTATACAGAAAATACTAGAGGAACTAGTTCTAAACCTGTACATGGAAATAATTCCACTTGAGACTAGGAAACATGGCAGGAAGTGCAAAAATAGTCCTTTTGAAATTCAGAGGTCCAAAGAAACATTGAGAGAGAATTCTATCAACATTAAGGGACCAAGACTTTTCAACACACACCCTCTAAACATAAGTGGCACAACTAGCCAACATCTCTGAGTTCAATAAAGAACCTGATAAAAAAAAACTCCAAAGGATACCTGGTCAACCAGGTTGTGATTCATACATCTGTCTGCAAGCAGCTGCATCTAACAGCCTGGTTGACCAGACCACCATCCAAGAGGCCTGGTCAGAGACTGGGCCACAGAGACAATGATCCCCTGAATCACAACTAGGGAACCACAAGGTCACATAAAAAATGTACAAAAAGTCTCATACTCTCGGTGGGTAAAATACTGGAATGCACTGAAAGTCATGGAAACCTTCATTCCCAGCTTTCAAATCAGATATGACAAAGAACAGACATCAAGAACAATCTAAATGCAATAGGCATAACCAATCTAGTTGGCAGATGATAAAGAGCTAGACTTCACTCTTTTGCAATCATTATTAGGTAAGTAAAGGGTACCTGAAGGTAACTTCTTTAATTTTACTTTAAGTAGCATACTTCAGGTACTTTGCTGGAAATAAGGGCAGCAGTCCTAATGAAGTTTTGTCTATTTTTTGAGCACTTCCCACCATGAGCCACAGTGATAGTCATCCATTTTGCCTCTTACAATAATGCAATAACAGTAATCTGTACACTAAATATTCAGTAGTTGTGATTGCAGCTTTTCAGGATTAAGTATTTTATGTGATCTGTTACAGACAGGAGTTAATGACCTTGGGATGGCCTTGATCTTTGGTTTGGTGGTGATCCTCGCCACCAACATAGTTACATACTCCCAAAAAAACCATGACTCACTTCATATACAACCTTTTGTGTCATTAAAGTCTTCAACAACTTCATTTAAAAATGGTGCAAGAGTCAACTCATCAGAAATGACTGTGACAGATTCCTCTCTTTCAACTGGTTCCCAAACTGTCTCTGCTGCCATCAGTTCACCACTGCCTGTATTGTCAACCACATCTCTGCAGTCAACATACCCTACAGCTACATCCACCACTTCATCTCAACCTTTGTCTACTCCGAGTGTAACCAACTCGTCTACAACAGTCCCCTCATCACAGCCAACAACAGAGTCCACATCAAGTACAACGGTTACTGCTTCAACAATGGAGCCATCCACAATGTCATCCTCGACTGTATCACCACCTCCAGTTTCTCCTTCCACTATGAACAGTACTACAGTGCAACCTGCAACCACGACCACCTCTCTGCCTAGCCCTACGTCAGTGCCTCCCAAGCAACACCATCCTGGGATTTCTGTTGCTATTACATTGTTCATCCTTTTGGCTGTGATATTAATGACTGGTGTGGTAAGTAACAATTTTATTTTGTTTGGAATTCATTGTTGGTTTTTTATCACATACAAGTGTTTTTATACTCTGAAAATATATATATGGTATGTATGTACTGTATGTATGTATGTATACAAGTACCATTTCAATAACTGTCTTGACTCCTTCATGGCTTACAAGATGTAAAAAAATCACAGGGTGTTTGGTGGATCCGACGACGGCGGCAGTTGGAACGATTGCGACATCAACTTATGCCTATGTACAATTTTGACCCCACTGATGATGCGGACGATTGGGAGAATCAGCTGTTGGAAGAGGAACGTTCACTCAGGCCAGAGGCTGAGAAGGTGTGTTTCCAAGTATTTTTTTTCATTTGTATGCTCTGCAGGCCTGTGTTTCACACTCCATACCTTGAGGTGCTTCCGGGGCTTAGCGTCCCCGCGGCCAGGTCGTCAACCAGGCCTCCATAGTGACAGGTGGTGTATAACTAAGTTTTGAAAGGGATATACAGTACTGTAATATTATTACATGAAATTTTATAATAAAATAAGTGTCTTATAAAGTAAAAAAAAAAAAAAATCAGGAATAAAAGCATTCCAGTTCTTTCTAAATTTTAGTTTTATAAGAAATTCTTCTTATCCTCATAATGCAGTTTGAGTTTTCCAGATTCCCCTTCATCCCCATCTAACTAAAAAAAATTAATTTAAAATAAAAAAATCTTTGAATCCTTCAACATGGCAGCTTCTGTAAAAATAATGTCCCATTGAGAGTAGAAATGTTGGTAGAAAAACTAATTTTGTTGTACAACAAAACAAAAAGTAAATGATATAATAATAGGTTTTAAATACTTTTAACATTAAAAATACATGTGTATAGGAATATACTACAGTTTCTGGTGGTTCTGACATCTCACATTAGCCGAAAAATACTTTGAAGGTTTTCTTCATTGATAATTTCCATAGGCCTTTTCATTATTGTATTGGACTTCTGCACTATTATTTTCCATTTCTAACAAAACCATGATAATTCCTTTATTTTCTGTATGGCTTGTTTCAGTCTTACAAAAAAAAATTGCTTGTTCTTAATCAGGCATTTATAAACAGACTAATATTCTAGACATGAGTGTCAATGAGATTTTTTGTTTTTCTCATAAAAAACACAAAGTTCTAATGATGCCAAAATGTGTCATCCAGTTGCTATTTATAAACATTCATATATTTATAGCTACAGTATCATGCATAATCTATTATAAATAGATTATAATAGACATTTTTACATCTACTCTCTGGACAATTCATTTGCAAACATTTTGACAATTATATTTATAACCTAATAAATAACTTTGAAAATATTAAATGACTGTTAGCATTTTTTTGCATCTCTAAGCCCACTGTGAGCATCCCAGGGAACCCAAAATGTTTATGGTCAGGAACATTGAGAGGCCAGACTGCCAACATCTTTAAGTGTTTTGTAACCTTTCTTTAACTATTTTTCTGTGGGGAGCCCTGTCGGCTCCCTGAAGCTATCCAAACTGTCATGTGCCTTATTAGTTTGGTGTCATCAGTCCCTGAAGTTGTGTGTGCCTATCGAAGATCAGAGCCAGAACCTGGTCCACTCAGAGAGGTGCAGGAAGCAATGGCCATATGAGCACTCTACGTTTAGAGTTTGTCATGTCTATCATCGACCGGGGCGCAAGAATGTTAGGCAAAACACTACAAACCTCTAACTGGTAAAAATTGCAACCTATGTCTGAACAGAGCCAAAGAACTTCCCCTAAAAACAAACAAACAAACAAGCAAATCGTCATCCAACTAGTGCGCTTGCTCATTAGCACCCCCCTCCTCCCCTGAAAGGGGGGAGGAGGAGCCCGCTCAGGCAAGTCAGCAGTTCGTTGACTGATGTGCTAGGTGTCAAAAAATCTCCTCTGGGCTCGCTTTATTGACTGACTTTTGCATTTGTGGCTTTGCCAGCTTTGTGTAGTGTGGTGGCCAGGTGTTCTCTAGTACACTGGGCTGCATGCGCCTAGAGGGGCCCTTCCCTATGTGCCCGGTAAGTACTTCCCTTGTGTTCTAGGGTTATCTTCCCTGGGACGTTTGGATCTCACTCCCGTTTGAGGGCTGCTTCACTTGGCATTGTTCTTCCCCATGGGATACGTCAGGAGTCTTGGGTTTCCCATCTTGCCTCGGGTAGGGAGTGCAGTTTTGCTGGGTGGGGCGCACTGCGGCTGGCTCAGCCTGCATACGGTGGTGGCGCGATTCTCTCTGGCGACAAGTTTGTTTGTGTGTGTGTTGCTTTGGGGGCTTTTGTTTTAGGCGTATTCACTTACTTTTGGGGGAGGAAGTCTGCCTAGCTTCCCATTAGGCCAGCCTAGGTTGTGTTGGTGGTCCTCCTCTGTTGCCCCGAGGTTTCACAGCGACTTCCGGTTCTCAGTTTGCCTGCAGCAGACAGGGGTTACTGGTTTAGCTAGCGCCAGTGTCTGGGCTTCCCATAGGGTTAACATACCCTACAGGCCCCTGGAAAACCCTGTTGGGCTCGAGGGTACCACGGATGCATCTTCCAAGTCCAGTCTCACCTTGTGCGATGCTGATGGTTGTTCGTTGCCACTACTTTGCGGTGACACTCGCCCATCCTGCCTCCGTCATGCTGCCTGTTGGGTCAGTGACACCTACGACCCTGAGTCTTGTGGGATTTGTTTTTGCGCTTGTCATTCAGTTACCCACTTCTTGTCTGAGGATGTGAAGGGTCAGGCAGTGACTTCGTTGCATTCTCGGGTTTCTTTTTTGCAACGAGCCAGGTTGGTGTCCAGTTGGAAGCCACAGAGCTGCCCCGCTGGGGTTTTAGGAAAGGGGCGTTAGTTATTTCACCCGTGATTCAGCACGCGCCCTTGCTACCTTCCCAGGTGGGTGCTATTTGCCATGCTCCTTTCCCCTGCTTCCGGTTCCCAAACACCTGAGGGTTTAGGGGTCAGGGCAGGGATTTTCATTTGGGATGAGGCTCGGGTAGCTTCGGGGATTGCCCCTTCCGATTCGGGGACAGAGGTTAGACCCGTTTCCCTGCCAAAGGCTTCTGAATTGGCCCAGCAGGCTCCTTTCCTTGAAGCTTTTCTCTGGGACTCCACCTTTTCTTCAAGGGTGATGGGTAGGAATAAGGGTTTTCGGTGCAGCCCCTTTTGCGACTGTTGGGTTTGCACCCTGGTATCTGTTCGTCGGTTGCTGAGTCACTGGCTTCCTGTTCAGGTTTTCAGAGTTCGGTGCCATAGCGCCTTCCCCTTCTTGCACGTGATGGTTCACGGACGCATTGTCTCTCGACTGGGGCTTTGTGACCAGCGCTCACCAGGCCGGCCAGGGTTGTTGGGCTCAGTCCTTCTGTCGAGCTCACAGCTCGGTGTGGGAGTTTGCGGCTGTGTGGCTAGCATTGCAGCAGATTAGGCTTCCTCGAGGCTTTCTGATCCGGCTCCATTCAGATTGCACCCGTGGTTCATTGTCTCAACCGTGGGGGTCCCGGCGGTCTGTGGCTATTTAGGATTGGTCATTTCGTGTAGCTCTTCTGCCGAGTTCTCTGTGTTTAGCTCTGTCTTTCATATTCTATGAGTGTCCAATGTCCTGGCAGATGGCCTGTCGTGCTTCATTTCCCTTTCCACAGAGTGGATGGTCGATGCCTCCTCCTTCCTTTGTCTTTGTCAGATGTACGCGTGCCCAAATGTGGACCTCTTTCCACGGCTCCGCTTCTTTCAGCAGGTCGGGCTGGTGAGGTACCTTGCTGGTTCTACTTACTCTTTTGCTCTTCATGTCTGGTTTTTCGAATGCATGTATCGTCACTTATATGGTGATAAGGTGGCTTTTCTGAGTGTCCCACCTGCAGTCATCATCTCAGTGACAGTATGTAGTCTCCTAGCAGTTTTCCACCATTTCCTTTCCCTTTGGAGGGTGTTGTCGGTGTCTGCGTTGGAGGTTTTGCCCTTTCTTTCTTTCTTGGCTCTTTTTGGACCGGCATCTTGTGCAGAATACTGTCGCTTTTTATTGTGCAGCATTGCAAGCCGCTCCAACTTGTGTTTAGGGTGGATGTCACTTCTGCCCCATGCCGCAAGCTCTCCCATGCATTTTTTCACCACCAGCCCTCTCTGGCCTTGAGTTGCTTTGGGACATCTGTTGCAGCCTGTTCTCTTTTATCATGAGACCTCCAGTGCTGCCACTTCCAGTCCTTGTTTTTACTTATCTGTGGGTATTTAGCTTCAGGGAGCCAACGGGGCTAACCACAAAAAAACAGCATTGAATGTAATGAAACGCCATTTTCTGAACGAGCCCCGGAGGCTCCCTGACACCCACCCACCCTCCGGTTGGCGGGTTTTCATCATTCTACGAACTTGGATGGTGGGCTGCCGGCTCCCCTGTCCCCTGAGGGGGCACTAACGAGCAAGCGTGCTAGTTGGATGATGATTTGTTTGTTTGTTTGTTTTTTCGGGGAGTGCTTTGACTCTGTTCAGACGTAGGATGCAATTTTTACCAGTTAGAGGTTTGTATTGTTTTGCCTACCTTTCTGTTGGTATTCCCAGTCGATGGCAGACATGACAAACTCTAAACGTAGAGTGCTCATATGGCCATTGCTGCATCCGAGTGGACCAGGTTCTGGCTCTGGTCTCTGGTAGGCACACACAACTCCAGGGACTGATGACACCATGCTGACATGTGCCATATTAGTTTGGATAGGTTCAGGGAGCTTCGAGGGCTCACCCAGAGAATGACGTTTCATTTCATTCAACGCTGGTTTTTTATTCAGGTCCAGTTGTACTCTGGCAATTCTACATTTGACTCCAGCCAGAAGCCTTCTAATAATTCTGTTCAGAAAGAATGACATTGCTAAGAAAATGGATAATTTTTGTAAGGTAAGTTACTGTTTTATGAACAGCATTTTGTATAACAAAATCATTAACAAGTAAATAATATGGAATATAGTTAACCAACTCTGTTTTAAATGTCATGTATCATATAGGACAGTCCAGCTAAATATATAAGAGAGAAGGTCTGTCTGTTTATCTGTCTGCTCAAGGTTGGAGGCCAAATGCTTCACCCAACCTTGCAGGGTGATTGATGAAGGGTAGGTTACTAACATACGCAATTTGGGGTCTGCCCCATTGTTTCCAATGAAATGGGGTTGGCTCCCATGGCGAACCTTCCCACAAAATCAGTAGAAGGTGGCTAGTTCAGTACCTAGAATTTAGTTTTTATCCACCTTGTAATATGCAGCATGTATGTGTATGTAATTACCTAAGTGTAGTTACAGAATGAGAGCTATGCTCATGGTGTCCTGTCTTTCCAGTATTCTTTGTCGTATAACATTTTGAAACTACTGACAGTTTTAGCCTCCACCACCTTCTCACTTAACTTCTTCGAACCATCTACCACTCTGCAAAAGAAAATTTTCTAATATTTTTTGGCACCTTTGTTTCCGTAGCTTGAATCTATATCCTCTTGTTCTTAAAGTTGCTGGTTTCAGGAATTCCCCTATCAATTAAGTCAATTCCTCTTATTATTTTGCAAGTGGTGATCGTATCACCTTTCTATCTTCTAGTTTTGGCATATGTAACTCCTCTAGCCTCTAAAAATATTGCTAAATTAGACAACAATTTGCACAACCTATCAAACGAGATAACTACCATAGTGCTCATTGAGCCAAGTTCATCCAGCTATCTACCCATGGTCTCATGATTTTGGAAAGTTTGCAGCTTTGTTCAGTTTTCTCTAGTATGTCTAGGGCAGATATTCAGACTTGGGGTTTTAGCATTCCAAATGGATGTTGGCAGGGCTATATCTTGCTAATATGCTAAGGCTGCACAGTTTGTGTGGCATTAGTGTCACTCCTTTCTTCAAGTTGACTAAATTTTGCCTGTAATAGTCTTTCTATGACCAGACCACGCACTAGAAGGTGGATGGGCGACGACGTTTCAGTCCGTCCTGGACCATTCTCAAGTCTTCCTATGACTTGTAGAGTTTTCCAGGTGGTTAGCTACAGAAAATCACTGAAGAATCTATCAGAAAGAGGCATTTCATTGCAGTCAATACTAGATTTGTTCAGCTTTTCCTCTCCATTTTATCTACTGCTTCCATTTTTATGAAAATTGTCAAACCTGCGGCAATGTTATGTAACTTAAAGTACAATTTTTTTTTATTTTTCAGCAAGCAAAACCGTGAGCCAAGGTACAAGAGTTCCAGCTGCTCAAGATTTAGACGTATGTGACAAGTATGTATATGGTAATAAAGCTCAGAACTCCCTAGGTGATTTGAATTTCTAATTTCATGGAAAAAGCTTCTCCTTTTCATACATTCCTTCACTAAAGCTCTTGATAAACTCTGTAATGTAAATAATCCTGGGAAAGAGAGCTTATACAGTTAACCACCTAGCAATCTTGATTCTTAGTAATTAAACCTTTTTTTTTTCATCTTAGTGAATTAATTTAAAATGTTGCCTTGTACATTTTTTCCTACCTTAACCTGCTGCCTTAGAAACCATGGCAGGTGTCTGAGCTTATATGTTCAGTATAATTTTCATGTTTTCTCCACATTTGAGTGCATCATTCATATGCTACCTCTTTTATTTCTTCTTTACCCTAAGAAAGGTTTATATTATTATGGCGCTGAAAACAGCCAAAATTATTTTAAGACTCCATAGTCTTTGCTTTAAAGATATTAGCACCTAATTTCACTCATCACAGAATGTATAATGATTGGCAGTGGGAAAACATTATTGCAAGAAGAGATTACATGCCTATTTTTGTAAGACAAAGCCTCTTGCCAGCACTCAGTATGATGAATTTTAAAGTTATATTTATAATTTGATATATTTGTGTTTTATGATTGACAATGTCTTCAGTGGAAGAAATAACAGGTACTTAGCTGAAATTAAGCGAGATGTAACCATAATGTATAAAACTTGTTGGTAGACAGTTTATGTAACTGATATTATATAATTGTCCCAGCCCTCATTGTCTAGGTTCACAAGTTCTTAACTGGAAATCCATGTTTGTATTGTTACCAAAAATATGGTCACATTGTGATAATAAATGTAAATAATACATCTCCACATACATTACTCTGCATCTAGAGTGGATGCCTTTTCAGTGTAGTCATTTTCATATTTCTCATCAGGAACTGTGTAAATGTCTTGCATATCTCAATCATTTAAATATATGTACTGCCTGTTACATAAGTGCATATACAGATACTCACATATTTTCCTGTATACTATTTATATATATATATATACATAAATGCATGTGTGCATCTCCATGCATGTAGCATGCACTACAAACTTGTCCCCCACACACACACAATTGGTTTTTAGAAGCACTCAAAGTCTCAAATGAGGCAATTTTTTTTTTCTTACACAAAAACAGCTCATTTGTAGATATATTTGATTAATCTTGATTTTTACTTTGCAAGCTATGTGATAATGAATGTATTATATAAATGAAATACTGGTAGTCTAGTCATTTTGGTCGATTGATGTTTCTAATGAGTACAACTGTACAAGATTTTCTGAGCAGTTCTGTACAGCTATCCAAGATAGCTAATTATACACAAAACAAAATTCTATCTGTGATTACTTGTTAGTGATATTTTAGATAATTTTTGTATAATTCTCTTTAATGGCTCTAGATTCTTTTTTCCACTGTATGGTTTCTCTTAATTTTTTTTTTTTTTGTAAGCATACAGTACCTATAGAAGTAGGTTGTTTTAAGCATATAAAAATATATTGTCATAAAAGGGCATCGTTAATTGTGCAAAAAGTTATTTATGTAATGGTAAATTTTGTAAACAAAGTGGAATTAGTTGCTCTAATAATTTTATCATATTTAAATGCATTACTTTTTCTCTTCTCTCCTCCATCACCACTGCCACTATTCATAACCATTACCCTATTTTCCACTTACTTGGTGTGGGCAAAGCCTAGAGAAGGTAGAAGATAATTACTGTATTAGGAAAAATATGCATTAATAATGCACTAGTTTCTTTCATTGCACTTGGCTTTAATTCTACAGCCATTGGGATGTATTCTCCTAACACCATGTACAATAAACCCACCGTGTCATTCTCGGAGCTCATTCCCACTTTATTACGCCAAGAGCTCTGTTTTTCAGTCTCCATTCTGTCACTGCATAACATAGGATTCATATTTGCCACCTCTACCTATAAAGCTTTAATTTCATATACAAACCCTTTATCAATGTCAAAAGAAGTCATTTACAGGGTGTTTAATTTATATAACAGGGTGCTCTGTTATATAAATTTTTCTGAAATGCCCTGTAAGCCGGTCGGCCGAGCGGACAGCACGCTGGGTTTGTGATCCTGTGGTCCCAGGTTCGATCCCAGGCGCCGGCGAGAAACAATGGGCAGAGTTTCTTTCACCCTATGCCCCTGTTACCTAGCAGTAATATAGGTACCTGAATGTTAGTCAGCTGTCACGGGCTGCTTCCTGGGGGTTGAGGCCTGGTCGAGGACCGGGTCGCGGGGACACTAAAGCCCCGAAATCATCTCGAGATAACCTAACCTCCCTTCATTGAAAGTTGTATTCTTTTCTTAATCGTACCTTCACTCACTACTATAATGCACCCTTTCTTACCCCATTCTGCTCTTCATTCTTACTTCCTCTTAGAATTCTCACATTTATGTTGAAATCAATCATTCACTCATTCAGAACTTTCATCCTCGTGTTCCTTATTTATTCCTCTCACAATTCACATAACCATACAAGCTTGCCTTTGTTTTTCAGGATCCAGGCACATGCTGGCCTAGAGCCAAGCCTGGCTCTGCCCTTCATGGGGAAAAGTTTGGGAATGGGGATCCAGCTCATCTTTTGTCCCCTTTATCACAGAATTTGAGGTTGTTTGCACATGTGGGTGATGGGGTTGTTTGCACCACATGTGGGTGATGGGGTTGTTTGCACCACATGTGGGTGATGGGGTTGTTTGCACCACATGTGGGTGATGGGGTTGTTTGCACCACATGTGGGTGATGGGGTTGTTTGTATTCAATTTTTAAAGGATTCACTATGTTTTTTGGCTGCTAGATTATGAGTTATGCTCTTTCACAGGACTAGATGTACTGCATTCATTTTCTTCATATCTCTTTTCAAAAATTTTATATACTGTATATATAATTTTTTTTTTTAATACTTTAAACCAGTTTTGAGTAGATACTCTTCAATTTTCTTATTTGCTAAACTCTTAATGCATTGTATATTGTATAATTGCAGATATTCTTCAATTTTCTTATTTGCTAAACTCTTTTAATGCATTGTATATTGTATAATTGCAGATATTCTTCAATTTTCTTATTTGCTAAACTCTTTTAATGCATTGTATATTGTATAATTGCAAACCTTGAAAATCTTATTTATTTATAAGTTCATTTTTTTTTTTTTTGCGCTTTTACAAATCTTCAAATCATAATTCATTGTTATAATCTTTTATAAAAAAAATTTCCTCAATATATTTCAGATACATAATCTTTTATAATTGTTTTGTAATAATTCATTTCTGTATTTTGCACCATTGAAAACTGACCTTCTATTTACAGTACTTTTAACTCTGCTTTTTATAGCATTCAGTAATGCTATCAAGGGTAGATGATATCACAGTTTCTAGCCTATTAGTAGTGTTACAATTTGAATATCCATATTGTAATGATTTTATATAGCCTTTAAATTAATCTTTCTGATCTTTGTTTTTCCTAGAATAAACATTGTCTATTGCACCAATCTGAATAATTGAGATTAGTGTAAAAGACAATGTTTTAGAACAACCAGATCGATAAGAAAGAAAACTAGAAAGATTAATTTCAAACAAGACTCAAATGGAGAGAGAAAAAATGTGGATGCAAAAGGGAGTATTCCAAGAAAATCTGTACCTGTTGAAAGAATGCAACTGCTTGTAGCTTGGAGATTAAATGTGTGGTTATGAAATGCAAAAAAAAAAAAAAAAAGATCAACACTAAATTCAAGCATTTTGGAAGTATTAACTATTATATTTTATCAACACAATCAACTATTCCTCTCTTTCCCATACAATTTGCTGACTAATAATTATTATATGCAGTAAAACGAAGATAAAACAAAATGCCATTCATTACAATAAAGCTTTAAATATAGTACATGCCGTGATTAAGCTCTGAATTTAAGGAAATAGTGTACAAGTAATCTCATTTATTGCTGGCTAATAAATGTTGTCAAGGTCATATTTAGGAGAAACAAGTTACCAATATGCAGAATAAAATTATTAAGGCTATTTAGTCACTTATTTGCCTGAAGGGATCAAATATTTAATACAGACATAAGATTTAGGGCTTTATTTTTATAAACACCTGCATATACAGACTAGGGTGCACCTGCATATAAAGATGAAAACACTGTATGCACATGCATATACAATATATATACATACATCAATATTGAAATATATTTACTCTACTCGGATATAAAAATACAGAGAGTAATCTGGTTACGCACCAGTCTCTGAAGTTCATAATGTTTGTTACCAATAGTCTAGAAAAGTATTGAAACCATTGATCCATTAAAAATCCACATAGATGAGGACAATCACAATCTCGATTCACATTATAACCGATTTCCTCAGGCATATGATGCATAGCTATTGTATTTTTTGGAGGGACCCCTCAGTAGCTCCCTGAGCTTGGCTATGGTACCACCGAACCATGGCACAAGACACCAGGCCTCTGAGATACATCCATCTCCTACTGGAAGCCAGAACAGAATTAGGCTCTCTACGAGCCAAAGGAAGATTGAGGATCAGAAATCAACCCAAACTGGAAAAAAAAAATACACCAGAAAGCAATGGAACAACAAAACACCTACAGTATGTGAGGGCACTCTACCTCTACAGTGGCAGTCTGGGCAGTATTTATGTGCTTGTCTTATGGACATGAGTGTCTAATCAGATTGTTTCTCATTGGTTTCAGTGCCTTCCCTGGGGTGGGGTTGAGGAGTTCATTTCCTTTCTCTTTTTTCTGGGGTGATGCTGGTCTCTGGCTGTGCTTTTGGTATTTGGTTTTGATCCTCAGTATGGGTCACATGATTGGGGATGTGTCATTCATTCTTATGGTCAGTCGGTCTTTACATTTGTTTCAATGGGGGTGAGAGGGACAGGGCCGTCTTCCTCTAGCTTTGTGGACCATTCAGCTATGCAGGTGGGCATGTTTGTCTCCACAATTTGACAAACACTGTGTTTACATTGTAGCAATGATGGTTTGCCTCGTTACCTTTGGGTACTTCATTTTCTTCAACAGTTCCTTGTTTTCTTGCACTTATGCTGTCTGGTGTTTTTTTTGTTTGTTTTTTTATATAGTGGATTGATCTCTTATTCTTAAGCTCTCCTGGCTTATAGAAAAAGCCAGATTCTGGCCCTGGCTCTTTGGTAGGTCTCAGAGGCCTGATGTATCTTCCTAAGACATGGTTGGACCACTGTATGTGTTCTTCCCACATGCCAACATACACAATGTCGTCATCTATGTATACTACACGTCCTGCTGCTTCCCTCAATACTTCATTCTGGCATGGCATGGGAGCTCCACTCTGTTACTGATCTCGGACAGGTCATTGTGCAATAAGTACAGTACTGTACTCCATTTCTTTCCTTATAATTTCTCTCCTCAAGGCTGACCCTGCAAGGGGTGTTATTTCACTTGCAGCTCGTCCTTCACATAGATTTTACCAGAATTTACATGAGGGCCACTAACTCACCAATGGTCTCGACGAGAACAGGAAGCCGGCAGCTTGTCTAAGGTTTTTTTAATTCTCCTGCTTTTTTTTGCAGGGAAATTTCTGCATGAGCCCCTAAGACTCTGGCTGGCTGACTAAGTGTTGCTTATTTATGTTTTACTTAGGCGGAGTGTGAGTATTTATGACTCGTATGGTCGCTTCATTAAGATTTTTGCCCCATGTGTTTAACAACAACAACTGCTCTGTTGAATCTAAGTTGGCAGGTAGGCAATTTTATGGGGTTTATATCCCTATGGGTGAAAAAGCATGTCCTGTTTTCTTCCCTACCTTTTGGCTTTATGTCATGAACAACACTCCTGTTGCGCTGATTGGTCAGTATTTTCTGTTGAGTTTAATGTCTTTATTGAATATGGGGGGTATGGGGCTTTATTGCAAATGGGGTGACATTTGCATATTTCTAATCTAGAGAACTTACTTTAATCTAGAGATTTTCTGACTAGGAGTTAGTATGGTAGCCATAGTCCATCAAGCATTCCCTTGGGATTTTGGATTGAATTCCAGCCACTCCTGAGGCTTTAGATTCCTTTTATTTATCAATGTTCTTCCTTATTGTTTCGCACGTCATTACCTGAGTTTACCCAAGAGCCAATAAGACTAGTGGCCTCGACAAGGACAGGAAGCCAGCAGCTTGTCGAAGGTCCCTCATTTGCCTTGGTGATCTTTTCCAGCTGTACTTTAAAACCCAACAGAGTTTTGGCACTAACGGCTTTGGCTGGTATGCGGTTCCATGGGTTAAAAACCCTCTGGGTGAAAAAGCATCTCCTGTTCTCAGTCCTACATTGTGGCTTGTTGAGCTTGAAACCGTTGCTCCTTGTTTGTGTTACACCTGATCGTTTGAAGAAATTTTCTGGATCAACATTCTCCAATTTGTTCAGTATTTTAAAAGTTTCAATAAGACCTGCCCTGT